GTAAACCAAATTACTGAAAATGGCAAAGAGCAGTTGCTAAAGGGTAAGTACTTCATGTTGATGTTAATTCCTACAAGGGATTATAGTGTTCTAAACTGTCGGTGTATCTTCACTGAAAAACAAAATCACTGCGCTTTCTGAAACACAGGATTATTGAATTGTTAAATCCTTTGAGTTGTATAATAGAAGTTATCTTGGTTGGTAAAGCTGTTCTCTAATCTAGTTTACACAGTACAGTAGAAGTTTGATAGTAACTTCACGTGTGTTTGTCTAGGGATAAATCAAACATCTGTGCTGAATTGTACACTTAATTCTGTACTCGGTGCAGCCTGACTGTTGCATAGGTCTGGGAAGGCTGTGGCTGTTGCATGCAGAACCCAAACAAATGCAGGCTTCAGAACTCTGAACTGTTTCAGAGGAACTAATACATTATCAACAAGACAGCTTTTTAATTTACTTTTTGGTAAAACTGAGCTTTGTGACACTTGTGGATGCCAAAGCTGTTGCTGATGATAAATACGTACGCGGTATCGGCAGTGTAGTGTCTAATGGATTTTAAGAAACACACCTTTACTTGTTGGGTGAAATTCAGTAAAGTCAAAACTTTAATGACAGTGTCATCAATGAATTAAAGAATATTATGTATTAGTCTTCAAATGGTGAATGAACACATTATAAACTGTGGACATGTATATGTGTATGAACGTGTATATAACCATGAACACCTTTGTGGGTATAAAATACCCGTGAATGTCAACAGTTCAGCTTTAAACTGCAGTTTCTGATGGAAGTGTGTGTCTGGCATGTGAGAGTTCAGCGGCGTCAGTGTAACGGAGAGTTTGAGCCTGTGTTTAAAGCACAGAGGATCTTTTTGCTGTCGAAAAGCTATCCAGGAGAAGATCTGTCCTTCCCTTCTGCTGTTCTTTCCTCTCATACAGCATGGGTTGTTACCTAGTGCAACTTTGGCCTTTGTTTTCCTAAAATACTGGGTCAGCCTGGAATTTAGAACTCATGCTTTCTGCCACCTTCAGTGAAAAAGACCTGGTAGCCCAAACTCTTAAGTTAACTGGAATTCACAGATTTCACTTAGTTTTTTCATTTCCAATGCCTAGATTGTAGTGTGAATGAGCTACTTAACTAGATGCAATGCCATTTGTTTCCTGTTTATCCTGTTTCTGATGTGAATATAATACTCCTAATTAAACAAAACAAACCAAACAAAAACCCAAAACACATAAACCACCATCACTCCCAACCCCAAGAACTTAGTAAAGTTTTCAAAATATTTTGAGAACTGTTTTTTCTGAGCTTGGAATGCTACTGTCAATCACTGCTACTGCAAAATAATGAAATTCTCATTTTCAGTTTTGAAAAAACAGGAAGTTAAATCTTAAATCATGATCTTCTGTCTTTGTTCTGGATAATATTGACTACTTTGTAGCTAAATTGAAAATAATTATTCCTTGTTATCAGATTTATGATGTCAGCCGCCTGTTCTGCTGCCATAAATGAGTTTGTAATCAGAATTTTCCTTTCAGAAGTGCTTTGTGTTTCTGGCTAGCTGTGTGTTGTCCATGGAGAAACAAATGTTTCTATTAGGCTCTCTTTTTAAAATTACTATTAATTTAAAGTAAGATCTCTACTTTGGACTGTTACTGACGTTGGATTAGGATTTTTGCTAAGCAGTTGAAAATTAGTAAGAAAAGAAGCAATATCTGATTTTGTTTATGAAATTTATAGGTAATGATCTCTGCAAAAATATAATTACAAATTGAATAATTTGTTATAGTCATGCAGATGAACTGAGACAGAGGTGTCATAACAGTTCTGGGAGTAAGAGTTCAGCCCAGCCACCTGTGAGGAGCCACCTAAATAATGTATATGAGCAAATTTAGAATGCATTTGGAGTTAAATTGTCATCTAAATGTTTCTTAGGTTATCTTAATATGACTGGCTCTTGATATACTTCAGCAATACTTCTGAATGCTTTGCTGTTGGAATGTGGAGATGTTGGGGTTCTTGAACCACTGGGAAAGGCCAAGGAACTTGTTTAGGGTTCTCAGTTCTGCAGAACTTTACTGCTGATGGACGATGAGAAGAATCCTGTCTGAACGTGGCACTGCCTTTTGGGGGGACCCAAGTTTTATCTCACAATAGGGGTGCTTGGGAAAGCAGTGCTGTTAATATCTGGAAAATGCTTTCTCAAGAACTGTTTTAAAACAGTTTCTTTTGTAGAAACAAGCAAACCAAAATCCCACAGTGTAATAAAAATGGACACAGGCAGCTTTTTGTATTAAAACTTTATCCTTCAGGCTGCAAACGAGTGTCTTCAAAAATAACGTTGTGACTAATAATTACCCGATTATGAAAGGAAGGAATAGTCTACCTGAAGAAAATAACTTCCGTTTGCAGCATTGTTCCTCTAACTGCCCCCCCCACCCCGTAGAATACCTCTCAGGGGTGTATTAATTTCCATCTAGGTCTTGTGAGAACAGTCAGTTTAGCACACTATTTTGGTTTTCTGGTCAAAAAATCAAACTGAATTCTGGCCTAATTACCAGTTGTGTAGAAGTTTGCAGAGGACCTTGACACGTGAAAATCCGGAAAAGCATAAATATATCAGAACAGTACTAGCTTGCTCTCCAAAGTGGGATAAATTTTGCACACCTTAAACCATGTATAAATCAGGTTTTTATTTAAGTTAGGCTCTCGGTAGAGGTAATTTGCAGCATGCCGAGATGCGTGTGCAGGAGAGGCACTCCCAGCATCAGCTGATTGACCCATCTTTCTGAGTAAAAAACGAGCCTGCATGACCAGTTGACTCTAACTGCCGGCTGTTTAGATAGCTGAAATTAGGTTAAAGGAAGCCCACACCAACTGCTTGGGTATCAACTCCAATTTCTAATCTTAGATTCCAGTGTTATTTGTAGATGGAATATTAACAGTATGAATGAGTGATTTAATTTAAGAAAAAAAAGGGGGGTGGAGTCAGAGATTTAATCATGTTCTCTGTGCATGAAAATGGCTCAGTTTGTGTCCAACGGGCATTGTGGCCAGTGATGCTTGTAAAATGGTGTCTGAATGACAGAAAAACGTGTTATCTGCTGTACAGTCTATTTCATTGCTTTTTTTAACTGTGGTGTACACAGAGGGGTCTGTACATGCATAGTACAATTACAAGTGAGATATTAGCTCTTAAGCTGCTCCAGAAATTAAATTACATGGAGAGGAGGATTGTTGGGCTGTCCTTTGAGGTGGTTTTCTACTAAGTATCTGCTGTTTGTCAGTTATAAAGAGGTAAATAAACCAACAGGTTTCTTTCTTTGACAAGCCTAGCATTTTGATTCTAACTCTGATTTTTACTCTGATTCATGCAAAAATTCTTTGAAGAAATTTAGCCTCTCAGTTAAGATTTGGCTCCTGATATTTCAGGCAGGGAGGATTATGGCAGGATTATGGCAACTCTGCTCTCCATCATCACGGGTCGTAGTCATATCAGGAGCTTTGTCCGGCTTGCCTGCCTGAGAGCCTGCGTTCTTCTTGAGATGCAATGAGCACAGCGTATGTGCCTCTACCAACCTCCATTTAATTAGCTCAGATATATGCAAAGTGGCATATGTTTGCTAAGAAAGCTCATCCCTCTTGGGAATCTTTTTTTCTTTAATGTTTAAGCCTTACTGCAGCTTAGTTAGCGTTACTGTGTTTTCACTGCTCCTGTCATCTGTGAGACTATGTCCATCTGTGCCTTCAGCATGCCGTAACTTGCCAGGTAGATAGAGCCTCCATAAGAACCAGGTGAGCGTTCCCGAGTTAGTCATGTCCAAATAGATCTGGAGGTGTTTTAAGATGTACTAGTTTCCACTTATTTAACCGAACATGATGAAGGGGAGTGGTGGTTTTCTTTGAGGGAGTTCTGAAACTCACAGAAGAGAATAAAACCTTGACAGGTTGAGTCATGCAGCTGCTCCTGCCACCTTCTCACAGGGATGATTATTCTTTTAGTAGTCAGATTGAGTAGACTTTATCACTGTGAAGCTTCCTGGTCTTCTTTATGATAGTTTCACTGTGGCTGATTGTTCAGTTTTCATTTATCCTCACTAATCTGTCTTTCTTGTAGTTACTTTTATATGTGTTTTGTTTGTAATTCTCTCTAAATTCTGATTTTCATCCCTGAGTTACTAATGAAAACACACGTCTTGCACAAAAGACTTGCACTTGGTGTGCTCAAGCAATGAAACGTGCTCTGTGGCCTACTGCCCTTCTGGAAGGAAAGCAGTAACACGAACACCGTCCCCTGTGTTCTTAATATTTTTTTGTTTTCTATTTACATGAAGGCAACATAAACCTTTTGGAAAAGAACAGATTAAAACCAGCCAGTAGAATATCTGCTACAGTTTCGCAGCATTTGTTTTTCTTGGCAATGAGTTAAAAGTCAGGACATCTATTTATCGCTTTTGTTCTGTCCCCTGGGCTCGTGTGTTTGTATGTATGGGAGTATGCGCTCTTAGGATTTCTAGGTTTTGTTCCATGGACCATCCTTGGTTTATGGAACTCAGGTGATCCACACAATGATCCTTGTTCTACAGACCTGTGCCTGTACCTGAGTAGGGGAGCTCTAAAAAGCTCAGGGAGCTATCCTGGAGATGTTTAGATAGACTCTATAATTGTGTGGTGGCTGCAAATAGAATTATTTGGTTTGGAAAAGAACTGGTAGCATTCAAAAATCAAATGCCTTAATTACTGAAAGATCCTGAAGACTAAGAAGGAGTGAAACAAGTGAGGAGGAAACATGAACCTACTTGGAATACAGCTTGCTTGCCTCAAAAATTGAGATTAATTAGGGACTAAAGCAGATAAATTATTCTCTGTTGCAGCGTATCTAGCTCCCTCTTTTTAAGAAATGTTCCTTCCAAAACAGTCTTGCATGATGAAAACTAACACCACGTAGCTACTGTCCGAGACCAAAGACGTGATAACTGAGAATGTGGAAAACCGTACGCATGTCACAAGACGGTGCTTGCCCAGGAGACTTCATGCTTCAGAATGTAAATTTTCCTCATGTGAAGCTGGGGCAAGAATTCCCCGGAGTAGCTTTCCGAGGTCACCTCTGTTCTTATCCAAAACTGATGGAGATAACAAGCTCTTCCCATGCAAGTAAGTCTCTTTGAAGCTGCTGGTGGCGCTTATTGGCAGGCGGAATATACCAGACAGTTTTGTTGCAGTAGGTATTATTTAGTGTAGTCCCTTCTGTTCTGTCAAAGTACATTTGTGCTTCTTGTTGAGGAAATGGTCATCTGCCATAGGTTTTACTCGTGAAATTGGAAACAGAATATGGAAAGAGAGAAAATGAGATGGACACTTTGATGTTGTGATTTAGGACATCTCTGCCAAGTCGAATGTGCAGCAGTGGTGAAGGTGATTTTGCCGGTCATTTAATTAGCCGTATTTAACTTCGCAATGTAGTCTCCTCTTGAATCAGCACGTATCTCTGCAGGACCCAGTTCTACATATTGGTGAAGGTAAAATAGGATGTAAAGAAAGTGAATATAAACTCTGTCGCTTCCTGGAGAAAGCGTGCAGTGTTTGAGAGGGGCTGTAATGTGACACTTGATTGCCTCACTAGAATCATGTCGTTTCAAAGTTCACTTTTGTTTTTCCATGGTCAGCAGTAGTTCAGAATCTGTATATGTTTTCAGGATAATGTAGCTAGTGCTGTGAATGTGGTAAAAAGCCAGCTGTATGTCGTCTGAACTTTTCTGTTGAGAGAAAAATGTGCCCTAGCAATTGCAAAAACAATACCTTCCATCACTAGTTCTACTGATTTTTCTACTGCAGTTCGCTTTGTTCGGGCTTCCTGTGTGCAGAAAGATGTATAAAGCAAGCACACCGAGGAGTCAGATTCAGAGGGGAAGGAACTGGGTGATGCTTGAAAATGCAAATAGAAAAAGAGAGTGAGCTTCTGAAGAGACCAATTGTGAAAAATTGACTGGAGGTAAAATGCAGATGCGCCTAAAAATAATGCCTGTTAAGATCCATCTTAAGTCACTGACTGGTCTCTGTCGGGCTGAGAGAGATGATATGCAATAATCTTCCTTAACTAAAGGTAGTCTATACTGATGATAAATGAGAAGCTTGGCATTTTGAAAGAGCAAAACAGTTGTTGCCTTATATAAAAACCTGAGATTGAATGTATGAGTTACATTGACAAGGGTGTGATTTTACATATAAACAGGGTGAGAGTTTCTTTAAGCATTACAAGTAAAGAACTCTCATTTCACTTTTTTTTATGAAACAGTGGTAGGCTGCAGCTGTAAGGTAAGGTTCCTGACAGAAGAACAAGGAAAACAAAGACGACCAAGAATTGCTTTAAAAATCACTCAGTGATTTAAAAAAATTTCAGCTTGATCTTTTTCAAACCTTCAGTTATTAGAGGTAGCATGCAGGAAATGAGAAAACAAAATGAAGCTGCCCATGACCTGGCAGTGGGTCTGGGAAGTGCAGTGATGAGAAGATACTGCACAGACTGAAGCCTTGAAGAATCAGGCAGACAGGATTTGTGGTGATGTGGTCATTATCATTTGTACCTGTGACCAGTGTAATGAGTGACCTCTGTGGCAGAAAGCTCCATTTCCTGGGCAAAACCCCCAAGTGTACCTCAATCGCAAGAGCACAAAGGGGCTGCAGCCCAGCCCCCAGTACATACTGCAACAAAATTGATCTTGTCTTCTCCTGCCAATATGCAGCAAGCGAGTAGCTTTTGCAGACGTTTAATAAAAATTTACTTTTGCAGAAGTTGATAAACATTTTATCTTGTTACTGTGATGCTAAGCTTACTGATGTTTTTCTAGTCATACAAAAAATTCCACCATGTACAGCAGCGTGAACATCTTTCACGCCTGGGGGGGTCAGCAAATAAGCTCAGCCCGCTTGTGTGAGGCAGCTGCTAATTAATATTTTGGTGTTCATTGTCAGAGCTGTGAGAGAAGCAGTAGGCATGTAAACACAGCAGCCTGCTGTCTACATGTATTTTTGGTCTGCCAAGTGTTTGGTGTTTACTTCCAGAAGCTTGACCCAGACCTCTGTTATTTGTGAATATTGTTTTTCCAACCATTTTGTTCAAAGCATCTGCAAGCAGTTTCCAGCAAATTGTGCTTCTTTCCATCCATCCCTTCCCCTCAGTAAGAATAGTACTGGACTTTCTCATAATAGCAATTCCGTTTTCAGTGCGGTGTATGCTGGTCACTGTGTGTGTGGGAGGGGTGTTCTGTGTGCCCGTTAAGTTCATTTTGTAAGGTGATTCAGATTTCAAAATGCAGAGGTACTTTCACTTCAGTTACATTAAAATAATATAGTGTAGTCTTGTTAATTGATTACATTAGTCATTGAAAATATGCACCAGAAACTCCAGCTGTTTAATCTCTTGGCTGTTTCGTATTCAGCATACAATACTTCTTTAACTTGCACTATTTTCTTTTGAGACAATCAGGTTTTTTGTTTCATTTTCTATTCCTTTAGTGGTTACTTTTTTTGTAAATTAAATAGAGTATTCCTTGGATTGATCCTTTCTTAAGGAGATACTCTTGGAAATCTTTTTAGTTTGTAGTGGCTAGAAGACCAGGGAGTGCAGAGTTATAGGCAAAAGGGTTGTTTTTGTCAAGTAGAGTGTGATGGGAGCCACAAGTCCAAGAACTTCAGAATACTGGAATAATTATTCTTTTTATCCCTTCAGAGCTCATTTTATAGTATAGTGGCCTTACATTTTCCTCTTTTAAGCTACTATTTGTTACATAAAGCTCTACTGAGCTTCCATATATACATTTAAGCTTGTTCATTGCATATGTGAATGCTTTCACTGTATCTGATGTTAGGTTTTAACTTAAAAGCGTAAGAGGATTCGGAAGAAGGCAGAGTCTGAATGTTCAAAATTCAGTAATGGTAAAGGCATCATGAAGTGAGCATGTTTGGTGTTTAGGATTAGCGGGCATAGTAAAAAAACCCAAACAACAACAGCAGAAACACCATCAACAACAAAAAAAGAGGGGAGGAGGCTTTGGTTGATATTTGCCTGTACCGTAATAACACAATCTAGTCTTTGAATTGTTCAGTCTTACTAAATCTACCTAATCTGTTTGGACCTACTGCTCAGAAGTTGCTCTCAGCCTTAGTAATGGTTTGTAGGTTCATGAGAACTCTTTTCACTTGTCACCATTCTGTAGAAGAAATAGTTATGAAAGGGAGCATTAGAGAATAAAGGCACAAATTGTGTTGTAGCTGTGACTCTAACTGTAAATTTTACTTTGAGGTGACCTTTTATTCTATTTTAAGAAAAGCGAAGGAGTAGAAATAGCAATAACTCTACTTTGGGAGTAACACCTCTGATGTTGATAACATTGCATAACTTCAGATACTAAGTAGAAACGGATTCTGTTGAGCAAACAAGTTTATTCCCTATGGTTTCTGTCAAGGTTACAAAGTTTCCTTGGGATATCTGTCTTTCTGCTCTTACCAAATCTGTTTCTTTTTTTCTTTGCAGGTCATGGCAACCATAAAGAAAACAGTCCTTTCCTGAACAGTTCAGAAGCTGGCAAGGGGGGTGATTACTATGACAGAAATCTGGCCTTGTTTGAGGTAATTTCTAACTGTTTTTCATACTTCTAACATGACTTGTGATCTTTCAAGGTGACAGGGATTGAGCACATCGTATTAAGTGGAAGACAGAGCATTACAAAGGTCCAGGCAGTGTGTCTGTACCTTACTCTACTGCATGACAAATCTAAGAGCCAGTGGTGTGTTTTAGGGGTATGTCTACGAAGCAGCAAAATACAGTGGTACCAGAGGTGACCTGAGTAATTGAAGTAGTGAAGCTGTGACACTCTGGCCTTATCAGTGTGGAAAATGAGCATGGGCTGATTTACTGTGAAGAAGGACCACGTTACTCTGTAGGAGAGTGCCTAAATTCATGTACTCAGATGAGCCTGGGTATCCTCTTTTACAGCTGCAGTATAGCAGTGAGACAGATTTCCCCCCACGGGTGTTTTTGTGGGTGTGTCTGTTGTTGGAGGCAGCAGTAAGGAGGGATATCCTGTGGGATGAAAAATCTCAGCTGTTGTGGCCCCTTGGGAGTGTGAGGCAGGGAGGTATGGCTGTTCCCATGGGAAGTAGGGAGGACCAGAGTCCTGCGGGAGGCCAGTTGGAGCCAAGTCCAGTAGAATCCTCCTCCCCATCCTCGCCTTGTTGGCACTGCATTAGGTTCAAATATACCATGGTGCACTCACACCAAGTTTCAAAAAAATGTTTTCAGAAGCTCAGGGACTGGAGAGTGGTGCGGGGAGTCTTTGTATAGCTCTACAGCTGCTTTCCAGCTGGGCTTCCGAGTTACAGCTTCACGGCAGTACTGGCAGCAGGGACTCCATGTTTCCCGTTCTGGGAACTCGGTGTGGGGCAGCCTGAGCTGGCTCTACACCCCGCCAGGTTGGCGCCTGCAGGGTTCAGCTGCATGGCATAGAGCCTGGCCAAGTGTAACTGACCTGCTGCTGGAGAGGAGCTCGCAGGGGCAGTGCTACAGCCATGTTTGCAGGCAACCTGCTGAGCTAAAAGACTTTGAAGCACGCTCCTGACTGTGATGTCTCCTCCCCCCAGAGCATGCTCACTTGCAGATCATGAAGGGTTGGTCACTTACGGCATGGCTGCTGCCCGCCTCTTGCCTAAGTGGTAACACAGTACCACACCAGGGCTGCAGGCTCTTTCTGTGGCACTGAAGAAGAGGAGGAGCAGCAGGTAGCATCCCAAGAGCCATGCTGGTCAGCTGAACCCGAAGCATGTGTTGCCTCAGTCTCTTTCTGGAAGGAATCGTAGTCAGGTTTTTATAGATGTGAACTGCAGATGAAATCAGAAGAAGGAATAAGAAATGGGCATTTGGGGTCACTTTCTGACATCAGGTACAAAGCACATAGTGCTGCTGATCCTCCCAGAAACTGTGACGATACATGAAGATACGATAAAACTCCAGACAGTGAAATCTTTCTTAGTAGGTTTTTATTTCCTGTGTAGAAAGTTGTTTCCCTTTACCATATATTACTTACTGTGCAGTTAGGCATAAGACATTTTAATTTTGAAGAGAAAGGGGAAGGGAATGATTTTGTTCTGGGGTTTTTTTGGTTGGTTGTTTTTTTGTTTGTTTGTTTTTTTTTTACCTTTCACTTTTCCGCTGCCTTGAACTTCCTTTCAGAAACAGAAGTTGGATGGGATGAACATAAAGGTGTGAGGCCTCTTTACATGTGGCTTTTGGGATTGTTACCTAGATCCATTAGATTAGATTACATGTTTGAATAATGTCATAAAATTATCAGAGTGCCTGCATGCTTACTATGACACAAGTGTAATCACTACATCTCTGACTTATTTGGCAATTTGACCTTTTTGAAAGTGTATCTATTGATGTAAGCTGAAATAAGAGGTACATGCAAAGAGCACGTCCACTTTCTTACAGTCCCAAGGTTCGGCCTAGTTCTTTATTGCTATTACTCATGCTTTTCAGCAGCAAAGGAGAGGGGTGCAGACCTGTTGGCGTAGCCTTTTCCTGTCAGATTTGTCCTCCTTTCAGAAAATTAAAACCTCTCGTCAGCGCTTCAGGCACAACGACACATTCTGTCATTCCCTGGATGATTTTCCTGGTGTGTTCCCTGGCAGCTTCAGGCATGCCCACGAAGACACGACCCCAGCCACTCCTCATAACTGCTGTGAATTGCACAAGTTGACTAGTTGTTGTCTTCCACAGGAAGAACTTGATATACGACCAAAGGTGTCGTCTCTGCTTGGCAAGTTGGTCAACTACACAAATCTTACCCAAGGTGTTAAGGAACATGAAGAAGCAGAAAATACTGATGGCTCAAAGAAGAAAGTATCAAAAGTAAGTAAAGATTCTCTCCATGGCCAGCTGATAAACGGGGTGATTCCCGGTGTAATTTCTGGGGACCTGGACTCCTTTCTGCTTTATCTTAACCTCTGTCAGGAGCCATGACAGCGTTGCAAAGAAATCACGTAGAGCTTTGTAGGTGGCCAGATGTGCCGAAGAACTGGGGCTGAGGTAGTGGCTAAGCCCATACACTGGATATGGATTTAGGTGAGTAGGATAGGCTTTTAGCAACGAATGGACTAAACAACAAACCAAAACCCCCAGCTTTTTCCTGGTGCTGTTTTAGCTGCTCAGCAGTATCGGACACATCTCTACAAGCCTGGTGGGTGTGACACAAGTCTTGCACCTGCAGGAGACAACACCCTTCTAGATTGGTGGGTGGAGGTCAGATAGGACACCCTGGGGCAGCCCAAGTGTCCTGGTGTTAGGTATTTAGGCAACTGACTTCTGCCCCGAGGGACCTGCATTTAGACAGTTAGCCCATTTGGGCTGGCCTTGCAATAACTGGGTAGAAGGTGGGGTTTGATTGGTGGTGGTTAGATTTCGATTTTTCTCTTCTTGGCGCTCCGACAGTCTGTCAAACCCTCAGGTGCTGTGGTTGCATTTTATGGCACTTACAGACTTGTCAGTTTGCTTGCAGATTTTGTCAAAAGAAAGTTTTCCAAAAAGCTAAGATAGTACTTGAATTCGACAGATTTTATAGTACTGCTTGGTCAAAGTTTGAGCCATTTCAGAAAGAGATGGCAGTGATAATGTTAAAAACCAGCACGTTGTTCTCAGAGAGAATGTGTGTTACCCCATGCTGAACGCTGGATTCCAGCTGCCTTACTCACACTCCAGTTCCTTACTCTGCGCAGATTTTACACTGGGGTTAACAAAGCTGTTTAGGTAACACGAAGCTTAAAATTCAGTTTTATCTGAGACCACACGCACTAAAGTCCTGTGATATTGTGGTTATGGCATGATAACAAGATTGAGTAAAGGCTGTCTGGGTGCAGTAACTACATTCTGGTGCTCTAAGTTTACATTAAAACATTAATTTAAACATTTTAACTGTGAATTTCTTTTATGTGGTACTTGGTGTTCTGTTCATTACTGGGTCTGTCTGAAGTTTTCACCTTCCCGTTGCTGATATGAAATGTCTGCTGCATCTCTATTTTAGCATGCTTTTGGGGGGAATGATGTCAGGTGTGAGCTGTTAATATGGTGTTACTGCACAATCTAAAATAATTACTATCCTCTTACTATCGAAAGCAGATTGATTATTACCCTGGCAAAGATAGAATGGGGGAAGATACAATAGGTACAGTCCTTACTATCTTGAGACAGTTTTGATCACTTCTGTTGTTTATTTCCTTATTAATGCTTGACCAGAATAGCAGGGTAAGATGCAGTCTAATCTGGAAGCTAGTCACTTACTTCCTTGTTGGAATAAGAATTGGGAGAATTTGGTGATGGGTCTGTAGTGTGATGCTTTTTAGAACAAATGCAGTTTATCTTCATTTGTTTTAAATCCCTGGTAGGCTAACATGTGAGGTTTGGTGTTAATATTGCCATCTAGGTATGATTTAGGTAGGCACTTGTGTATTTTCAAATGGTTTACTGCCTTAAAAAAAGGATTGTTGTCCTTGCTAAAGCCACGCTCCTACGTTAATACCTGGGTTGTCCTGAATTATACCTTCCTGTGTCCCAAAAACGTGTGTTTGCAGACTTCTCAGATGTTTTTTTGTAGAATAGGTTGGGTAACCATTCCAAAAGTGACAGTATCATCCTGTGTTAATATCTCAGTATTTTCTGTGTAAACACTGCAGTTTCTTAAGCGGATTTTTGCCTAGCACGTCTGTTACATCAGCTACAGGATCATAACTGTTGTTTGAATTTCTTCTCCTTCTCTTGCCATAAATAATACGAAATTTTAAACGTCTTGTGAAATATGAGAAGGTTGAATATTAACTTGGCCAGTAATTGTAACCATTAAAAGCAGGAAATTCCAAAGCAGTAACTGTACAAAGGCATGGATTGAAGGTATCCAGAAACTGTGCAAATGGGATCCATCTACACATTGGTTTTTAATCGTCAGTATGCTGCTGTTACCTTATCCTTCCCATCTGAGCATTACTACAGCAGCATGAATGTGCACGACAGCAGGTTCTGTTCGTAAGTGCCAGCATTAACTGCCTCGTTGCTGAATGCTGTACTGGGTAGGCTCAGCAGGTACACCCCCAGCCAGTGTGACAAAAGGTACGCTGCCTGTCCTGGTGTGTCACTTATTGGAATTGGCATCTCGTGGACAAGAATTGGAGAGTGAGCAGGCTCTAGGTCTGGTATTCAGAAATGGAATGAAGACAGCAGTCCTTTCAGTAGGTGAATATGTTAATTCTTCCTCGGAGCAGGTAGGGCAGGTTTCTCCATGAATACCTTTTTGTGACCTAGCACACCCTGCCCACCAAGTCTTATCCATTCCAATAATAGAGAAGAAAAAATACCAAACCAAACAATAAGCCCAAAACAAGCCACAAAAAATCCAAACCAACAAAAAAAGTCACACACAAAAAATAGAGACAAGGCAGTTGTGTGCACATGAAGTGGCCAAACTCCAAGGGTGGATATCGAAACCATGAGATCTGTCTTCCAAGTTTAAGCTTCAAAGACAAGGCAATGATGTGCTTTAGCTTGTGGAGCTCATTGTTGTCAGCACCTGCTTTCTGCAGTGACAAGACCAAGAGAGACCTGAATGTTTCTGCAAACTGGAAAATAAATGACATGACTCTTCCCCTTCTAATCTCTGGGAGTAATTGCTGCGGTTTGTGGACGAGACATATGAGGATCAGGACAGCTTCAGTGCAAAACTGCTCAATATAAACATCATGTTTCAGCATTCCCGTTAACTATTTTTGATAGCATTCTGTGCTAGATACACATCAGATAAAACTGACACTACTCTATGTAATAGGGTGGAAATTGGGTTGGGTTTTGTGTTTTCTAAATAGACTTGTATTAAAGGACTTCTAGTCTCAGTGCTATCAAAATATCCCCTTCTCATGGTGGAAAAAATTAGAGTAGAGATAGGTGAACTAAAACAGGTAGTAAGGCAGTTCATTTCTGCGCTGCTGTGTGCCCTCATGCTCCAGAGCAACCGGAGGGCTGTCATTACCCATGAATATCCCTGAGCCCTGCAGCCAAGTGCTTTGATAACCCATCACGCTGACACAATGGAAATAGTGTCCTTCAGACTCAGATCAATATTTGTATCAATTATGTGTCTGCAGCTGATCAGAGTGAACGGAAACATGATCTACATCACTGAAATTGAGACTGTTTTCGAGATTTTTCTGTCCCTTTTTTGGTTGATCTAAACCAGTGTTCTTCAAAACACGCAGCATGGAGTGTTTAAGTTTTTGTTGTTTGGCAGCTGTTGAGAGTGAACATAATTCCCTCCTCATTTCAGACTGCATTCAGTTGAGACTTCAGCACTGGTTTAGTACCACTGATTATAAGAAGTTATAAAAAAGGGTCAAGTCACAGCAAATTACTGGTGTTAAATATCTCTGAGAACAAGCTGGTTCAAGTAGTATTTGTGGATCATTCTTTCATACCTGTATTTTTTCTTCCACAGGGCAAGGAAATGCAGAGTAAACTGTTATACCCGAGGTGTGCTTAGTCGTACTGTGAGCTGGGTTTTGTCTGCGGGCAGACACGTTGCCGAGGCTGCTCTGCTCTGCAGTGGTCACACTGCTACACAGCTAATGCACAATTGATCTTCCTCTGTGGCTGAAGTGAGCTTGTAACTTGATAAGCAGCAGAGGCCACTTAAGAGGGAGGGGGAGATGATGGGGGACAGTAGAGCAAAGCCACAGGGACCGCTTAGGGCAGAAGATAGGAAGGAGCTGAGCTAAGGCGAATCCTTAGCAAAGGAAGCAGGTGCTGGGAGATGTGTAAAGGGCAGGCGGAAAACTCACCTGCTTTGATAGTACTTGGAAAACTGTCATATGGAATATTTAACAACTGTGCTCTACTTGCTTCTGCTGCGTAGGAGCAATAGGTCAGGCTGCTCTCTCTTTCCCAGATGCCGGTTTTGAAAATCTCTTAGAACCTCCTTGACCTCTGAGATACCCAAACGTCTGATAAATTAATTTGGTGTTGGCTGCTGGGCTCAGAGATGTTGAAACAGGGGTAACTGATGGAAGAATGGCCAGATAGATGATGAAATCATGTGGAATGCCTCTTTGGAGGAGGCAAAGAGTACGTTAACGTGACAACAGGAAGCCCCGATGTAGGGCAAATTGTGCCCAGCGCCTGGCAACATGAGTTAGTCCTTTCTCAGTTAACAGTGGTGCAGCTGAAGACAGTGTGAATCAGATGAAGGTGTTTGAATCAGAAGTATCTAAATTTCCCCTTCTTGAGGAAACAGGTACGCTATAAAGAATACCCTGAGAAGATCCACTGGAGCATTGGAACAAGTTGTTTAAAAATCCTTACCTTACCCTGACCAGGACACCTGCGTACAAGTATCATTTCTGTTAGTATCAGAAAACCAGAATTCCTTTTGTCCTTACCTTGACAGAGTGGATCAGGTTAGGTCTGTGTGTTGGTCATTTCTGTACAAATGACAGGTGATGTTTTAAGGATTTTCTTGTACTGTGGCATTGGAACAGCTGAGTAACGTCTCTCTGTCCCCGTGCTGGTAGGTCTCAAAGGGTAAGTCCATGGCAAACATCAGCACATGGTTCTGATGCCCACTTTACTCAGCAGGTTGAAGTGTGCATGAGTTAGCTTTAGTCACACGAGGAATTCAAAGCTGACTTCAGAAAATTCAGTCAGCAATTCCTGGCATTTCTCACTAAGGACTGTTCAGATCATGTTCTTAGGCACAGTTGTCTTTCATCTCTGGCAGGGCAAATTCCTAATGCAGATGGGGAGATTTCACATGGCAAGTTGAAGCACTAAATTCCTGGGTTGTTTATTTTGACCTGGTCATATTGCAACCATTTGATTTTTTTTAGGGTTTGTCTTTGTCTTCACTTACCTTAGGCAACTAGATTTTTCCACAGTGAAGACAAGGCAAGAAAAAAAAGTTGTGACAGCCATTTTATTGCTTTAAGAATCATAGAATCATAGTCTGGAGTACCACTGCTTTTGGTTCATGACCGATTTGCCTATAAGGGTGCAGCTACCTATTTATTTTTGCGTTTAGTTAATGCTATGAAGAAGTGCTGTCACCTCCCTTTAAATATATCCTCCTCTTTTAGGTCATGGGTTACTTTAAATGCTCTCTATCTGTACTCTCTTTAGGAATTCAAGTTTATTTCTAGAAAGAAGTTTGAAAAGGGATGAGCCTCTGAGAAGTTAGTCTCTACTCCCCCTATGTTTCAGAAGTCTGTATAATTCTAAATGCAAAAGAAAACCTCAGAAAGCAGAAGCAATGAAATGTCTTGGCAGGAAACCACAGAAATTTGGGATTCTGATTTGCTGCCAGGTGTGCCAGCGCAGGGAACACTTCTGTATTCTTTGAAATAAAACCCTTCTCAGTGGCATTTTGATGTCAGTGGTTTGGATCTGACTAGGCTGTGACAGTAACCATCTGGCAAAGGAGAATTCTATAAGAGACGATGTTGCGTGCCATTCATGTGCAGTTCCTTCACAGTCACCTGACTCACCTGTATTTTCTCAGTCACTGTCAATTCAGCCTGATGCGAATACTATTTAAACCTACAAAGAGTAGTTCTACATTAAATGTATAAAATGGAAGGAAATAAATTATGCATGTCTCCAGATTGCTTTCAGATCTTTTCTAATTGTAACATCACAAAAGTATGTTTTCTGTGAAACTAATTTGCAAACTCTGGTCAGTGGGGTAGGATCTATCTTACTCGGGGTCTGCAGCGCTCAGTGGGCTTCGTACCGGAAACTCTGTGGTTCACAACAAATACATGTATGTTCCATTGTTGTTAATTGCTGTTAAATGCTGGGTATAGTTATTTCAAATGTGAAGGTGTGATAGGGTCAGCATTTTGTTCAGAAGTTAGTGGGTTTGGTGTTAGGGGTTTGCTTCATGTTCTGTGGAAGTCCAGCACAGTAGTATCTGTGTGCCTACCTAATGTTTCCCAGATTTCTACTGTTTGAAAAACTGAAGTTGTAGTTTCTTTGATTATCTGTGCTTTGAGTAATTCCAGTTAATGAATGTCAATGAACTTTTTTTCCAGTCACCCAGCATGGGCACCCTGATGGGAGTGTATTTACCATGCATGCAGAATATCTTTGGAGTTATTCTCTTCCTTCGCCTGACGTGGATGGTGGGAATGGCTGGAGTTCTTCAGTCCTTCCTGATTGTATTACTTTGCTGCTGTTGTGTAAGTATATGAGTAAAATAATGCATGTGACATAACCTCTGCGAAACTTGAAGAGGCTGCATCGTAGATGCATGTGTAAAGAACAGCCAGATTTATGCTAGATATTTCTGCTGTGTTTGTAGCCATGTGATTTCTTTTTTTTCCTCCTCCTTTTTTTTGGTCAGTATTCCTAAACTGGCAAACTGTGTCTAGTGTAGATAGTCTTAAAAATGATGTTTGTGCAGCAAATGGCTGTTTTCTGGGTTGAGGCAATCCCAAGCACA